CCCCCCCCCCCTCCCCCCCCCTACCTCGAGCGAAGCGTTTGTTTATAAACAGCGCCTGTGTTTATAAACAGCCGTCGTGTTTGTAAACACAGTAAAGGAAAACTAAAACAAATTTAACAAACCAACACACCACGACAATAATCCATGACAAGAATCCTTGACAAGGCGATACAGACATCAATCAATTCAACAAAAGATGCGTGAACAGAAGGTTAAGAGCAGCAAGTAAGCATCACGAGCCCGATCCAAAGGCCTACGTAACTTCAAAAACTCCTTATACACAAACGCAGGCCCCAGGATCGACCCTTCTGCCTCTGTATACATCCCCATATGCCATATGAACTCTCGAGCCGCTACAACATGCTACAACCGAATCACTCCTACACTGCGCAGTTGCAAGGAGAAGGAGATTCACTTGCAGAGACAGTGTGTATGTGGGGCCAAGTGTCCCAAAAATGGCATTCCTGGAAAGACCATACGATCTACTGTTCGTGCCTTGGCGGCTTGATTACTTCCAACATGATAATGATAGTAGATCTGGATCCCTACACCCTGTAATCCCTACACGCCGACCAAACTATGAAAACCTGAGCCCCTGCGGGTAAATAACCCATGGGGCCTTGCCCGGACTTGCATCCAGTGCCGCCCGAGGTCGTTCTACGAGTTCCTGGGGGTAAGGTGCTTTGCAGTCTCGAAAGTCTTTAGGCTCGGCGGTTGAGGGTTAGTTTTCGGACTCAGGGTGTAGGAGCAGAGCTTAGGGTCTGTCGTGTTTATTTTGGGTTCAGGGAATTTCGTAAAGGCAAAGAACGGTCGGGGTTTACGTTTCATGGTCTTGGGGTGTTCAACAACACAACGTTGCAGCACTGCGCCGATGCGTGGGGCTGGGGTTGGGGCAAACATGCGGCTGCCTGTGGGAACCGTACAGGGATTGTATAGAGATCAACAGGATCCCTTTATGGGCTTATATCCGGAAAAGTATTGGGGCTGGTTTTTGTTTGGCTTGAGGGTTCAACATGCGGCTGCCTTTGGGTACCTGGGCTCTACAAGGATTACTGAGGGGCTATACGGGGGTGGGTACAAAGGGATTAACCTAGCGCATGGGAGTACCAGAAGGGTTCCTTTGCAGGGCTCTATAAAGGTTTAGGGTTTTGGGAGTTTCCGAAAATAGGGGACCCCGAAATAGCACCCTGCCTGCATAGTAGGATCCTTATGACAAGGACCCCAGAAAAAGGTCCCCCTAATTTTCGGAAACTCCCATATGAGGGGTATATAGGGATTAACAGGATCCCTTAACGGCCTTAACGGCTTAGACAGTGTATTTCATTCTGGATTTCAGGGTGGGGCCGATCTTGCTTGTAGAAGGGGCCCCGGAGGTCTGAATCCCTAATCTATACCCCTTACAGGGAACTCCAGAAAGTTGGAATATGGTTTCATGGTAGGATACCCTGCAATTGACCATAGAAGGGTTAGGATAATCAAAATCCAACTTTCTGGCTTTTACCTTAGAACCAAAATAAAAAAAGTGTTTAATGTGCTCTTGCGTTTTATATGGACAAACATAAAGATAATTCCTAAAGGAGAACATCGTACTTCGCTTAGGTCCTAACAACAGATAGGATATTCAGCCCAGCAAACAACCCCACCAAACCTACATCCCTCTAAGCCTGCAGAACCCCATGCACGCTGCACCCGTTTAGGGCTCGCCCCTAAGCCCAAAACCCCAATCCCAAAAAAAAACACAAGAGTGTCGTTGTAGAACTGTTAAAGCAACCCGGCCCTAAAACCCCAACAACCGTCTTTTTGGGGGGCCGTCACCTGCTCTGGAGGGGGCGCCGGCTCGATCACTGCCGGACCCAAGTCGTCGGCCATGGGCGGCAAATCGGGAGCTTTGGCCGCGTCCAGAGCACTTCAATTTTAAAGATCTAAGAATCTTACGGTCATGTAAACAGGGTGGGTGGGTTTGGGCTTTAGGGATGTAGTTTCTACGAGAAAGTCGCTACTTAGATCGCACATGCCAAACGAACGAAGCTTTGTACATCTAGTTATCCCTAAACCCTATAAACCCTCAAGCCTAAGCCCAAAACCTACGCCCTAAACGGGGGCGCCTGCGCTAGAGTGTCGGATCGAGCAACGCCTATACCTAAACCCTGAACCGTAAACATTAAACCCTGTACCTCGGGGTTGTATGTATAAAACTTCTCGAGCCTCAGAATTCATGGCAGATATGAACCAAAGGGCAATAGGGCGGACTCTCAATGGGGATCGCTACCCATAACGGGCTATATAACGGGTAAATAACGGCTATATTAAGACTATATACCTGAGGGTCCTTACAAAGGGTCCCTTCTTTCTTACGGGCTCTAGAAGAGGTCTTTTTTCGCTATATCAAGGTCATATATCTAGGGTCGGTATTAAGAGTCGCTCCTTTCTTCCTTAGAACCCTAAACCCTAAACCTAAACCTTAGAAGGGGCCCCCACCCTGTAATAATGGTATAATAGGAATATAATAGGGCCCTAATATAATCCTTATAGTCACTACAGGGTGGGGGCAGCTTCTAACCTAAACCCAATGAGCGGGAGTGGAGACTGCACTACTACCGACCTCGGCCCTGAGGATTCGAATCTCGGCCTGTCGGATTACTCTAAGGACCTTAATAATTACCTGTAGGGTTACCAGGGCTCCTTTCAAGGGGTCTATATAAGGGTTACTGTAAGGGATCTATAAGGGTACTATAATATAGGGGCCTTAATGATTAGAAACAGGGTTTTGGGCTCTCTCATATTATCGTTATTACAATAAGGAACCCCAAGGAATAATATTGGTGTTTCTTTAGGCTTCTATAATGGATAACGCCCATGGTTTTGGGGTGATAAAGCCTTTTATAGGGTTTAGGGTTCAGAAGGGTTGGGGTTTAGGATTTGGGGATAAAGGCTAAGGGGTTGGTCTGCCAGAAGAGAACTTTGACTAGCCAGCGACAAAGAGTGAGCATCAGACTAGTGACTGGTTGGGCTTTGCGCGGTGTTAATTTCGATACGAAAGAATACAAGCAATAATGTGATTTTGCACACCCCAGGCTCCATGTGCCTAGTATAGTACAAGCCAGAAAGTTGGAACATCACTATCCTCATGCCCTTAAAGTATAGGGAAAGCCAGCACTAATCATCCTTAATCCATGTTCCAACTTTCTGGGGTTCACCATATACACATTAAGCCTTGAAGTGGTGCCCTGGGGAGAAACGTTTGCCCAGTCTTCGGTTGAAAGTCCCTGATGGGAGGCCAAAAGGGGGGTTTAAGATTCTTGGGGTAGGGATTCCTGAATATGAACCCTATTATGGGAACCCTAATCCCTACTAAACCTTTGTAGGCTAATCCCCCTTTTGGCCTCCTATGAGTCCCGGTCTCCACTTGCACAACCAGTCCCGGTCTAGGACCCCCAAAAAGCTCATAAGCAAAACTTAGGATAGGGATATCCCATATAAACTCCCTCATCATGAAGCCCAATAAGGTAAGGATATATCCCTCTAAAATGCTTATGCTTATAATTGAAGCCAGAAGTTGGAACATCATTCTCCTCATGCCCTTCAGGTAAAGTAGAAGGGATCCTAGCGCGAATCCTCCTAAAGCCATGTTCCAACTTTCTGGCTTCTACTATATGTCAGTTTGGGGGTCCCCAGGTCTCCACTTGCACAACCATGAGCGGCGAATGATGCAGGAGGCCCAGGGCTTACTAGGGAATGGGCCGCTAGTAGTCCCTTTAAGGGGTTCCTAAAGGGATCCATAAGGGTTCTATAAGGGTTTAGGGTAAGGGTCCATGTACCCAAATGGTATATACTTTGGCCTTCAAGTACTCTCTCCAAAGGTATATTGGGCCCAAAGTATATAGTACATACTATTTGGGTACATGGACCCTTCGAGTGTAGTAGTCCCTATATAATCCCCAGTAAGAGTCCCCAGAACCGATTCCCCCATTCCCTACTGCTGATGGACAAAATCCTGCATTACCTTAAGGACTCTAAGCTAATGGAACTATGGCACATTCCTTATAACGGGCAATGCAGGATTTTGTCCATCAGCAGTACTAAGGACCAGACAGAAGATGTGACGTTCGTCAGGTCCTTGAGCCCTGTAGACCAGAATGCCTTGAATCACCCGAATCCCAAATCATAAAAGACCTACTTGGAGGGGCAGGGGACTTAGCAAGTAGGGTTACAAGTAGGGTTATAGTTGGGGTAACTCCATTTAGGGTACTTATAACTCTACTTAAAATCTACTTACTAAGTCCCCTGCCCCTCCAAGTATATGTATTAGAACAGCAAGCCCGGAAGTAGAATAAGTCAAAGCACCCGGCACCCGACCCAAACCTTAAAACCCCCGAGCTCAGCGCCGCTGTCTCACGGAATCCCAAGCGGGCCAGGGAGAGACAGGTGACGAGCAGCGCGGTGCTGAAACCAAAGCCGGGCTTCTGGCTTTCTTGCTTCTTCGTTTTCTAAGGGCTTTAGGGGCTTCGGCTTAGGTTTTATAAGTTGTTTAAGGGTTACGGTCCGGGCTTGATGTACTTCAGGTAGAGCTTGCTATGATTGCGGCGAATATTTGTTATTACAACAACTCCTATGATCCATCATGATGTTACTGGTGCTATCCTGGCTGCTACCATGCACTAGGAGGGGCATTTAAAGCCTTTGAATATTAGTATGTAAGATCCTCTTAAGCCCAATAAGAGCAAATATAAAATGTCCCAAGGGTTTAGGGTTTAGGGTTTAAGGTTTAGGGGTTTAGGGTTTAGGGGTTTAGGGTTTAGGGGTTTCGGGTTTAGGGGTTTAGGGTTTAGGGTTTAGGGTCCCTACCTACTCTATGAAGCCTCGGAACTCATGAGCCCGACGAAACCAGGCTTCTGACTGAAATAGAACCGGGTTCCTCTAAAGGTGTATACAGTAAACCCCATAAAACTGAAAACCGGATTAAGGCCAAACAGTGCTGGGATTCGTTATACATACATTGCTCTTAAGGATTGAGGCTGTTGGGTTTCCAACTTTTGGGCTTCTACTGTAAGGATTACTATAAAGTGTCTATATGGGTAATTACTATGTAGGGGCCTCAAGAACTAGAATGGCGGACTGGGTTTGGGACTTAGTCGTGCGATTATCGGAGCCTCAAGAGTCAGAATTGAATAGGCTTTCGGTGTGATCATAGCATGATAGTATACAAGGAACACTCAGAAATATGTTGGTAACTCTCCCGGCCCCTACAGTGTCCTGCTTCTATTCATAGCTTTTGGTTCAAGCCACTTCGTACGGGACTCCTGGGCCTCAAATTCCGCAACCCTACATGTAAGACGTGTTCAAACAGGATCCCGAACCCCCTGGCCCAGACTTCGCTTGAATCCCTACAAAATCCTGCGGACCTTCTACCCGAATCCCCAAACAGAGCCCTACTTTCCCGATACTCTGAGGCCAGAATCCTTAAGACCCAAACTCAGAGTGCCCGAAAGGGACCGTCTCTTTCGAGGACCCCGCTCGGAGTAGCTCTGACACTCCAGGGCTGCATGGTGGGTGAAGCGTCCTTGAACGACTGGAGCCAAACTGTCCCACTGAAGCAGCTCATAACACTGTATCGGAGCCTTAATGATTACAATAAGGTTCTCTGGCCGTTGATAGTGTTAACATTTATAAAGCAAGGAACCCTAAGGAATGATATTTTCATTGGTAATGATTCAGGCTTCTATAACTTCTACAGTAAATCCGAAACAATAAGCCTGCACCCTAAACCCTCAAGGCCGTTTGGGGTTTAAGTCTAAGCCCTTCAAGAGCTGCGGTTTTGTGGTTTCGAGTTTGAAGTTCAGACGTCAGGTTCAAGGGGAGTAGAGGTTCAGGGTTTACAATGTTACCCTAAGGGTCCATGTACCCAAATACTGTTGATGGACAAAATCCAGCATTACCCCTTATAAGGTAAATACCATAGTTCCCATAGTTTCGAGTCCTAATTAAGGGTCATGCAGGATTTTAAATCCATCAACAGTAGTATATACTTTGGGCCCAATGTACCGATGTCGGGAGTACTTTAAGGCCAAAGCATATCCCTTAGGGTTAGGTTGAGGGCAGCGTTGAGGGTTGAGGATGGAGGAAGTCAGGCGGAACCATTTCCTGGGGGCTTGCACTACGTCCCGATGGAATTCGAACCTTTACCTGCGGAGGGCTCGTTGATCAACGAGAACTTTGGGAAGCTAGCGTTGACACAAATGCTTTGGGAATTGCAGAATGTGTTGTTAGACTCGACTGTAATTCCACATACTAGTATCAGCCGAAACATCAAGGCTGGTTTACAAGGAAACCCGGGATGTTCTGAACCAGCAAATTTGTGGCCAAGTTTCCCAGTACCTCGGGAGGTAACTCCCAGGCGAATCGGCTGAAGCCTCACTTTGCAAAATGGGCACGAAGCCTACCCGCATAGAACTACCAACGGTGATGCAAAGACTACAGCTTGGATTGAAACTCTGCCTTGAAATGTTTTGTAGGGTCCCTACAAAATTACATATTGGAGTTTATGACAAGAACCTACCGTAAAGGAAAGTTTGGTGGGCGGTGGGGGTAAGGTAAACCCTTTTGTACGGGGACTTGTAACAGCAGGAGGCCACTTCGACTTTGAGGTAGTGCAACTAGAGCTACCAGATCCCAACTTCAGAGGCACACCTGGGACGGTGATGAGTGTAATGATGATGATTACGAACATCAGTTTCTTAAATGCAATGCCCTTTTCCTTGCGTCCAAGGGTCGGCCTCTGTGCGAGGCTTGCACGGTTCAGGGTTTAGGGTTTACGTCTCGGACGATCATCATGAAGAGTAGGAGTCTGAGGAGGAAGAGTGGTGTTCTCAGTGCCTTCCCTGTGGCTGTAGTAGGCTGTAGAAGCTAGCAGCGACCGGCACTGTGTAGCATTTGCGGTGTGCAGGCAGAGACCATGCACCAAGATCTGATACATGTCAACCTAGAGATCAAACTGTCAAAGCTAGCTCGGCTCACTGTAACGAGAACGTGCAGCCTGATCTTGATTGACTCCCTTCCTACAACCGGAGCCCTGCTACAGACCCCAGATACTACGGTTGATGGTATAAACCCTGCATTGCCCATAATAAGGAATATACCATAATTCCCATAGTTTCGGGTCCTTAAGGTAATGCAGGATTTATATCATCAACAGTAGGATCATTTTTTGACTCTATATAAGGGATGCCTCCCACTTCTAAGAAACTCCCATATGCCCGTCATTCGTTTCAGGACCGAGCTCCCCTAAGCCCTAAACCCTAAAAAGACGAAGGGCCTTCCGCAAACCACGCGATTTCGTGGTTTCTGAGATGCCCTTCGGAGCTCCATTGATTCAGGATGCTACGGTTGATGATATAAATCCTGCATTACCCATAATAATGAATATACCGTAATTACCATAGTTTAGGGTCCTTAAGGTAATGCAGGATTTATATCATCAACCGTAGAACTCGGAGCTCTACTTAAAGGACCATGGCACTTAGTAAGTATGGTGCTAAGTACCTTCAAGGGGGTTATAAAAAGTAATTAAAGGTTGAGGTAGCCGAATAATAACCCTTGTCACTAAGTCGCCTGACCCTCCAAGTATCATTGCATACCTTGGTCTCTGAAATGAAACTCCCGCAAGCAACCTAAGTCAACAGACAGCACGCCCTCAGGAAGAGCGAACCTTCAGCAGCCGTACCACTACACTAGTCATGCCATTAGACCAGAAACCATTCTCCACGAGGAAATAAACGCATATAGAACCCTTACAATAACCAACCTTAAACTGAACCTGCTTGCAACCCTTGACAGATCCTTTCAACGAAGCCCTACCCTAAGGGTCCATGTAGCCGAATAGTACATATGTTGGCCTTAAATAAAGTACTCCCGATATCGGTACATTGGGCCCAAAGTATATACTACTTGGGTACATGGGCCCTTATTGGGGTATTGTTGAGTAACTATACTTATAATTACCTCTAACCTCAACTAAGGTCCGTATAACCATACTTACTAAGTCACATGACCCTTTAAGTACAGGAACCCTAGAAAGGACCCTTAGGGTCTTAAGCTCTAAACAAGCCCCTAAAGGAACCCTATTTGGGCACATTGATTCTTAGGGTATGTTAAGATATTAGATCGGGCCCTAATGATGAGAACAGGGTGTTGGGGCCCATTTTACTATAATTATACCAAGGAACGCCCAAAAATAATACTTTAATGTACAGGAACCCTATAAACCCCCGGGCCGAGTGTATGACTCCAGAGGAGCATCGATACGTCGCTGGGTGTGAGCTGCCGACTGGCGGCATGGCATCGGCAGTTTTGGAGTCTGAAGTCCAGGGTTTAGGGATTAGGGTTTAGGGTTTAGGGATTAGGGTTTAGGGTTTAGGGTTTAGGGTTTAGGGTTTAGGGTTTAGGGTTTGGTAAGGGTTTAGGGTTTATAGGGTTTGGCGTCTCAAGTGCAATTCTGTGCAGCTTTACGTCTTAAAGGGAGCATTTTCAAGATCTATAGGAGGCCTTAGGTCCTCTTCTATTCCACATTGTCTTAGGGTTTGAAGCGCCGGATCCTAGGCTACGGATTCCGGGTATGGGTGCCCACGCGTACCTTACCCTTAGGGTCCATGTACCCGAATAGGGTTCCTTTATGGGTTCTATAGGGTACCATTACGGTTTAGGGTATAGGGTATATACGGGTCCATGTACCCAAATAGTATATTACTTTTTGGGCCCAGTGTACCTACTGTATATAGAGAGTACTTTAAGGCCAAGGTATATACTATTTGGGTACATGGACCTTTAGGGTTACTTCTGGCAGGTGTGATACTTACATGCGTTACACTGCGGCCGCAAAAGGCCAAAAGCAACACCTGGAACTGTATAATTAAACCCCAAGCCCTAATGTAAACTGTTCATAACAGACGATACCTGCCACTGACCACTACGCAACTGAGAGAAGTTTGTGCAGCCTCGAAAAACCCTCAAGCTAGTATGGCACGGCTAAACCAAACCAAACCGGAACTTTCGATTCACCCCAAAGGCCCACCAATTACGGATAAAATCGCAGATTGCACCACTGTCCCGACCTCAACATAAATGGGACGTTTAGGTTCAGTGATAGCTTGGCAGAAGCCTTTCGACGTAGCCTTGAGACAAGGGTAGCCGTAGCGGAACGTTTAAACTTGTGTGGGAGAGCTAGCTCCCTCTCCCGACGAACAAAACTTGGTATTTCGGAGCATAATCATCCCCACGATAATGTCACGGATCTCAAGAATAGAATAGATGCTTGCTACCTGCGGCTCCTCAGGAAAAAAGTTGACAACATGGCATCATTTTCTCTAATTTTACGAAGCATCTGGCTCACCATGCATGTATGTGTGTATGTATGCGGGTGCATCTGCGTCAGCAATGTATGTCTGGACTGTGCTGTACAATTCCGCATTGTCCTGTGCTTTGCTATACTTGTACTACGCAAGACTAACTGCTCTGATCGGTATTTATATTCACTGAATGCCGACTTCTTTGCTTATCTGTTGCCTATGCTTGAAGACCACAGGCGTACATATGCACACATACGAATGTACTTAGATACGCACATACAAACATAGGTACATACTTTACATACATACATACATACATACATACACGTATGTACATTCATGCATATATACATTTGATACCCGAGTTACCCGAGGTAGAGGTTCGTGCCGGTCCGCGGCTACCATTGGAGATGTTTGCAGATTATTGACTACCCCCGGAAAACAGGAGCAGAAACTGGAATCGGCTGAGCGCTTGAATTGTGCGACGGTAGGCGCACAAGGCTGCAAACATGTGCCACTAAAGAATTACAAAGCAAGCCCCTGCAACACAGAACTCAGAAAAATGAGACGATTGCCCCTTTTGCCTGCCATATGTGTATATATGAACATTAACGCTTGACAACGCTTTATTATGTGGGCTTTCGGGGAGGAGGGGTCCCAACTCCGGGTCTTGAGGAAATCAGGAAGTTTTCCACTGTAGCTACGGGCCTGTTTTTGCTCTCCTTGTAGAACATCTCAAGGCGCTTTATGAGCGGTCCATCCTGGCAGCAAAGGAGGCAAGAGATTAATGTAGGGGCCTGAATAATTAGAACAGGGCCTTGGGGGGTTCCTTCAACTATAGCTGTACCCTCAAAGCCTATTCTAATTATCAAGGCCCCTGCAGCATCCAGTGCCACGACTTTCCTGCGCCGGCCCAGAAGTATGTTGCAAATCTCCTCACCCGTTTCAACTTAGACAACGGAGCAGTCACGGCAGCTCAGGTTAGCATCCCGAGAACCCTACTTAAAGGATCATGGGACTTACTGCTGATGGACAAAATCCTGCATTACCCGTTATAAGGAATATACCATAGTTCCCATAGTTTCGGGTCCTTAAGGTAATGCAGGATTTTGTCCATCAGCCGTAGAAACCAGGGTTAATAGTAGAGTAACTATACTTATAGTTACTTATAACCCCAATTAAGGTACTTATAACCGTACTTAGTAAGTCCCATGATCCTCCAAGTATAAACCCTAACAGCAACCATTGACTAGCCGACAGCCTTGTGCGATGCTTTGGCGAAGGCCCACAGGCAGAGGCAGAAATCCTGAGTAACTCAGGTCCAAAGCAGATAGGTCTGAGGCAGAACGTACACAGTAGACCCTGAACTCGTCCGAGCTTCTGAGCATCGCCCAGTCGCGAAAATCAGAAGGCACACAGACACGGTTGATGATATGAATTCTGCAATACCCAAAATAAGGATTATACTCTACCATAGTTGCCATAGTTTAGGGTCATTAAGGTAACGCGCAATGCAGGGTTTATATCATCAACAGTACCTTAAAGAACATAACGTGTTGCATCCCACACTCCAGAAGGAAGGACGGGCTGTGAAACCCGGAACCCTTGATGCCCCAAGCAAAAATCCAACACCTCAACCTCCAGAATGGCGTACATCCATATCTATGCCTCTCCCTCCCTCCCTCTCTCCTCCCTCCCTCTCGCTCTCGCTCTCCCCCGCCCTCGCCCTCTCGGTCTCCCTCTCCCTCTCACTCTCCCTCTCACTCCCCGCTCTCTCTCTCTCTCTCTCTCTCTTTCTCTCTCTGTCTCTCTCTCTCTCTCTCTCTCTCTCTCTCTCTCTCTCTCTCTCTCTCTCTCTCTCTCTCTCTCTCTCTCTCTCTCTCTCCCAGAGCCAGACATACCCAAACCCAGACCCAGAGCCAGACCCAGACACAAACACATGCGCGCACGCACACACACACACAGGAATGCGCGCGCACGTATATTCTATGTCTTTGGCTCTGAGCCCCTGGCTCTGTGTGAGAAGCCGACGAAATCCTGCCTCAGCTAGGAGGTGGGGATCACCTTTACAAGTGTTGCTCTTGCTGTTGCTGTGTCTGTTTACGCCCATTATCTTCCGAGGTTAGAAGCAACACAGCAGAGCGCCAGTTAGCCGGTAGCTTCATAAACATTTTGGAAAATCAACAGCGATGGAGTTGACAATAGGGCCCGAAGCTACTGAATGCAAGGGTTATCTGGTCCGGTCCTAGCTCCTCGTGCTTCTCTTTCCAGCCCCGAACCCTAAACTCGAAATCCGAAAGTCCGAACCGCAAGCTCCATGACCTAAGCCCAAACCCAGTATGTAGGTATGGGTAGCGGAGTTACCGGATGAGAGGTCAAGGTTGTTTATGGGTGCCTGCCACAGTGCAACCTGCGACGTATCCGTATCCCCTGGTGGAGACCCCTATAGAAGCCGAAACACAACAGTTTGGATGGCCCTTGCAGGACATCACTTGAGCCGGGCCCCCGGCACGATTTTCGGAGCTGCAGCGATGAAGATGGGTGGGTCTCTCACGCCCTGCCTTCCATCAGAAAAGCGGTTTGGAGGTTCACGGTTCAGCTTCTAGGCGGTCGCGCAGGGGTTAGAGCCATGCGAACCCAGTCTGAAAGTCTTGATGGAAAGCCTTGCAAACTGCCGAAGCTTTGTCGCTGCCTCTGCGGTGCAAACCCTGGAGCAACACTCGGAGGATCATGATAGCTGCGAGTTAGAACGGCCCTCATTGAGGCTCTACACACAACATACTTACATAGTCTCATGATCTCTCAAGAAGACCCTCTACTCTGCTCGACCCTAAACGATGTAGGCGCCGGTGGTTGGGCCTTGGGTTTCCACAGATACATTCAACAAGTTCAGATCCCTGAGCCGAGGGCCAAATAGAAAAGGACACCTGAATAGGTTTATGGTTTCGACTTTCGCCTTGGCGCTTAAGAGATGCGCAAAGATACATCCATTGATATCAAGCCCTAAGGGTCTACCCAAATAGTATATACTACGTCCTTGAAGTACTCTCTGTATAGGTATATTGGGCCCAAAGTATATACTATTTGAGTACATGGACCCTTAGGGAGTTCAATGTGCACCAGCTGAGTCAAAGAACCCTTAATCCTCGACATGACATCGGATGGGTGTTTCCCAGACCTTCCAAAACCCCTTGACTAAGGAATTCGAAGATGCAGGGATCCTGCTATCGTTGAAGAAACGTTCCCTTAATTCAGGGATTTTGGAATGTCTGGGTTCCTCGCAAGCAAAACATCCAACATCGGCCTCGCAGTTCAGACCGCAGACCCTGAAACCCTTTCCCTAAGGGTCCAAGTACCTAATAATCATATGCTCTCCGAAATAAAAAGAACCTGCATAACTACTATCCGAAAACTGAGTACCTAATTATTGGGTCCCTTGGACCCGTAGGGTTTTACGAACCGGTAAACCCTGAACCCAAACCGCAGAACCTAAACCATCTACAAATCCTAAACAAACCGTATCTACACCTCAGCAAACTGCTATGGCAATGCAGACCAAACAGAACTCAAAGTCATCAACAACAAAGCAGCAGGGCCCTAAACCCTGAACCCTGGAACCCTTAAACCCTAAACCCCTTAAACCATTGAACCCTAAGCCCTTAAACCTTCAACCCTTATACCCTAAAGCCTAAACCCTCTCTTTAGGGATCTGGCGCGACCAAACCATGGAGGCAGGTAGCCAACTGCTCGGGGGTGAAGCGCTCGACTTGGCTGGCGAAGGCCTTTGCAAGCCCAGAGACTCCAAAATCCCTTGATTAAGGAATACTCATAGGCTCCATAGTAGTTCCATTTTGGGGTTCGTAAATAGAATCCTATAAGGAAATCCCAAAAAGGGAATTACTATGGAGCTGATGGGTATACCTTAAACTGCTTTAAATCTTATTGGGGTTAAGTTCTTTATTGTAATTTGAGGTATATTCCCTAATTCAGGGGGTTTGAAAGCCTAAGTCCACCGTCCGATTTTAGACGCGTCTTGGCACCTTGCTTGCCCATCCAGTTCAGGACAGGTGAGTTTCGTGGATAATTTTGTTGTGTATGCTTTAAACCACTAAACTCACTAGACCTTACACCCCTAAACCCCCAAACCCTAAACCCCAACTCCTTAAAATTCGGTTCAGCTCCTTCGATCTGCTTTTCACTTGACTGCTTGCAGCTTTTTTGTAGCGCCTGCAGACTCTAGCACTCCGCTGACATCAGACGGTCAACCCTGTCTGCTGCTAGATTGAAGACACTAAACTCTGAACCCCTAAACCCGAAACCCTAAGCCCTAAAGCATAAACCTTAGTGCCTTAGTAAGCATGTAGTCATGTATTTAAGTGAGATCAGGGTGCAGGTTTAGTCCGAACTAGACGGCGCAGTGCCATTCTCCCTGACTCTGAAAGCAGCGCCTTGGGTTTGGGACTTGCAAGTAACACGGCAGCATCCGCCACCTAGCTTTCATGAGAGATACACCTACAGTCTCCTTTGTAGTTGCTTTGGGAACATAAAACTCGTTAACCGTTAACCAGAAGAAGGGGCTTCCATGGAGACCATAGGTATAGTTCACGGAACCAGATATACCTCAGCTCTGACTCCGCTCGTCCTGAAGCCTAAACCTCCTAAACCCTAAACCCTAAACCGTTTAGGGTTTAGGGTTTAGGGTACTGAACAATAATTGTAGGGCTCAGCCGCCGCAGCCGTAGCCTCCCGCCCTGGGTGATGGGGTTTCGGACTGCTGACACGTCTCATCTTTCTCATATCAGGGTTTATAAGATTTAGGGTCAGATTCCTGGGGCGGGATAAACACAAGACATGTCTTCTAGACCCAAGAGTAACCTAGGAATAAAAAGGGTGCCCTTTTTGCTTTAAAGGGTGTTATAAGGGAACCTGAACCCTCAAAAAGGGAATAAGGGCCTACTCTAGGTCCTAGATTACCGAAACCTCAAACTCTAAAGCCCTGGAGCGCTAACCCCCTGACCAACCCCAAAACCAGTGATTCCTCCCAGGGCGCCTCACCGAGGTTCTCAAGGATAGCCGGGTCCTCCGGCCAAAGATGGGTGAGTCCATGGGGGCCTAGAAAAATAAGATGGGAGGCTTAGCGGAAGAGGGGCGGGAGGGGGGCATATAGCATAGAATCCAAGTTGGGTCTCGCACGTTGTGCGTGGCAGCTAAGGTTCCGGATGAACAAGGATGAGATCTCAAGCTTTCCGGAATGGAGTGTTGCGGGACGGAGAATGCAAGTGTCCGGGCCTGTCTTAGGAGCCTCTTGCAGATCAGGAGTGGTCGAGGGGATACCAATATGAATATGAACAGTGCGGCCCGAGCCCTTGAGTCATGCGTCCTGTTCATCACGCTACTGCTCCTTCTGTTTGCAATCGCTCTCTTCGAAAGAACTTCTACTGCCAGCAACGTATGGCAGACGCAACACTCTATTGCTAGTTCGTATAACTGTAAAACCTCATCAAAAAAGTATAGGCAAAATCATGGCCCAATACCTGCACAAGGCTATCATTCTACCTACTTTTGGGGGTCCGGGTAGTTCTTTCTGCTGCCAAGAACGATCCACGAAGTTTCAACAACTCAACCGCCAGAAGGCCTCGCTGCTCTCGTGCAAGAAGCCTTGGGGGTTGGGGTTTACCTGGACCCTACGGAACCTACATGGGAGTTTCCGAAAATAGGGGACCCTAATGTAGTACCCTAAATAGTAAGATCCTTATTATAAGGACCCCAAAATAAGGTACCCCTAATTTTCGGAAACTCCCACATGTCTAGGGTTCCAAGCACTGTGCTGCAGCACTGGGAATATTCCACCGCGCAACGGGAAGCATGTAATTTGTAAAAGCCGCTATGCTACTGTGTACGTTCAACAGAACGTGCAGGTGCAGACATGTAGGAGTAACGGTATGAGCGTTCCAACAAATCTCCGTGCGCATATGCTCAGCACAAGGAGCACACCCGACCTACAGCTCCAGCTCCTTTAGCCGCAGCCGTCGGAACGCATCCACCACGTCGCAGAGCTGACGTGGTGCCAGAGCACGTAGCTCGCGCATCACCTGTGACGCGAGTTCGCTGGAGTCATGTAGGTACCTTCAACTGCGACGGGATTCTAAATCGGTTCTGGACGACCCATGTGCCTGGGGTTAGCCAAGAGCGCTTAAGCACCAGGCGCCGAATTCACGCATCATCCTGCAGTCTGTCTCAATACTTTCCTTATAATAAGGATCCTACCATTTAGGGTACTATATTAGGGTCCCCTGTTTTCGGAAACTCCCATATGGTTGGGGGTAAATGCTGGTATAGTGAGAAGAAGGAACAGTAAATTCCTCCCGGGGACGAGAAGAGTCTGTCTGTTTCGTCTCAATCGAGGGGTCTGGGGATCTCTGTGGAGCTTCGGAGACATCGCTGTCAGGCTCTCAAACACTGACCAGGAAGTTCCTCTGTCCGCAGGTGCGGTACAGAGAACAAACACCCCCCTTTCCCTCCATCTCTCTGTCTCTCTCTCAGTCTCTCCTGGGCTTGGCGGCGGGTTACCGTCCCCGGGCTTCAAAGCCCACCCGTTAGATTGAATGGGTACTGCGGGGAGTGAGATACGAATGTAGTGTCCTTTTTGGGCCAAAGCCATCAAGAGTACGATATCGTGCTAAAGGACACGTACATTCTGATTGACACATGCTTCCACTGAGGACTGAGTTCCCCACCAATAAAGAAAACATTAAGAAAATAACACTGAATCACCTCTCTCTCTCTCTCTCCCTCCCTCCTCTTTGTTACTCCAACATCATGTCCATATGCATGTATGCATGTACGAAAGTATGGGAGGTATGCATACACATGTTCACCTAATTATGTGCATGTAGCATTTTGTCTTTTCGGGATTTCGAGTTCTGGGTCTTGCTTCAGCGAGCTGCTGGTATGTGGGTCTCCGGCAAGAAACCATAAAAAAAAAAACATCGGTATGGGCAGAGAGTTCGCTTCCCGTAAGCTTCGCTCATGTCGTCTCAAACCTTCGTCTTCGCAGCAACCCTATTCTAGACCCAAGAGTAACCCAGGCATAAAAAGGATGCCCTTTTTGGTTTAAAGATGCTTATAAGGGAACCTGAACCCTAAAAAAGGGAATAAGGGCCTACTCTGGGTCCTAGTATTAAAAAAAAATATCTAGCGATGACTTCGAAGCCGCCTCGGCGATGACGACGCTCTCGACTTCGGGAGGCCTCTGCAGTCCGGAGGACAGCAGAGGTTTCAGAGTTTGAGGTTGAGGGTTTGGGGTTCATAGGATACAGGACTTAGGGTTTTAGGGTTGAGGATTTTTTCGTTTAGGGTCTATAGGGTACAGGAAAGAGGGCTCTATGGCTGTGGTTTAGGGCTGAAGAAAGTTTCATGCAAGGCTCAATGGAAGCCTTATCGTAAATCAATGCTAGATCGTGTCAGACAGTGATAAGGCTCACTCCCCAGTACACTGGATTGCTGACTTTACATGACGGCGAAGTTTCTGGGATCTCGCAATATCATGCGTATTGTATGAGGACGAGAGTAGGCCCTGAATGGGCATTGGGTAGTCTCTGGTATCTCCTCGAACCGACTGCATGCTTCCTATCTACCGCAGATGCACGCAATCAGCATGTCACCATGCAGCCTGTACTATACAACCTATAAGTCTTGTATGATAGACCCGACATCTGAAACCCTAGACTGTCCTAAACCCTACACCCTGAACCTAAAGCACTTAAACCCTAAACCCTAAATTAGGAAAATCATCCGATGGATCCTCAATCGTTTCCCCAAGCGAACGTCGGCGACCAGCCTCAACGCACGCGGAAACTTCCCCATCGCCTTCAGCAGCCGCAAGGCATCCTCAAGATGCTCTGAGTTGTATTCTAGGAGGGGCTTTTCAAGCCTTTGAGAAATATTAGTAGGTAAGATCCTCTTAAGCCCTATTAGAGCAAATATAAAATGTCCCAAAAGCGCTACCTAGTATTAACGCGTAAGCTTTAGGGTTTCGAGCTGCATGGGTGTATTATTTTAGTCTACCTTTGGTGGTCTACTGTACGGTATGATACTGACGGTTACTTGCAGATATTCGGCAACTGCATCGAATGGCATGGAATTGCGAAACACTCCATCCTAAACCCAAAGGAAAAGGGACGGAAAGAGTGGCTCGAGAACCAGCGCGAAACTGCTTTGCTTTCCCTCAAATACGAACTCGCGTGTTTCGGGCGAAGCCGACAGATGCTTCCCCCAGTAAGTTCGCTAGATCCAGAGGAAATCGTTTCCCTCAAATACCCGCTGCGATTCGAGGCTTTTGGGCACCCAAAATGGTCCCTGTCACTTTGTTTATATACAATGAACCATGCCTCCCGAGAACCGAACATACGTAATGATAATGAAGGATAGAGGTAAACAGAAAAGAACGTGTATGTACACATGGATGTGCCTGTTTGTATATGTACATACATCTAACGACAGTCTGCCTTATCATTACACACACACATGCACGCCTGTTGCCTTCGTCTCGTTACCGTTTGCAGTAAACTGTATCGTCGCATCTGTATTCAGCCCATGCAATCTCAATAGACATATGTGAAACGAAAAGAACGAACCCAAGGCAACACAGGCCTGAGGGGTCATGGCAAGGACGTGCTGCAGTACCTGCATTGGCTGCACTTTGGCCACATTCTGGATACTTTCCTGTCGCACATCTGCTTTGCCCTCAGCCCTCTCTCAAGCTTCAAGTGCTAACTAAACCCACTGTTCCCGGTATCACAATGAATCACCGCCCTAAGCCTAAAGTCCAAAGCACTCGGCACACAGAAGAAACTTCCTGCTCTAATTTCTTGAAGTCTTGCCTACCACCCCACACCTTTCGCGAAAGGGCCCTGGCCCCTGCGACCACGAACTCCCATCAGCCCGAACAAGAAACTGCACTGCCCTTTAACAATTTTGCATTGTGGGGAGCGTACTCCTCCTCATGATCAACGCAGGATTTTCGTTCATCAGCCGTATCACTAGGCCAGTATTGCAGACAACCTTAAAGTCAGCACCCTGCCTTTTGGCAGGTACCCAACTATGGCTCAAACACCTGCAATGTGATAAACAACACCAGCCAAACTCTTGAGCCAAGCACCAACCCTCAAACCTGAATGCTAAAAGCAGCCATAAACCCCAAACCCAAAACCTTAAAACCCTAAACCGTCGCTTCAGCACCTCCTCCAGCAACATCGGGATAACGTCGTTGAGGTCTTCCGCCGGCTCTCCGCCCAAGGCCTATTACAGGATTTAGGGTTTTAGGATTTAGGGTTCTTAGGGTTTCAGAGCTTAGGGTTTTAGGACTTAGGCTTCTTAGGGTTTTAGGGTTTTGGATTGTTTTAGGGTTCAAGGGTTTAGGCTTTCGGGTTTCGAAGAGGAACAACCAAGAACACACCAAATCCCACAACCCCAAGTTTCCTTGGAGTTTAGAGTTCAGGGTTGAGGGTTCCGAGTACTACAGTTGATGATATGAATCTTGCATTACCGATAATAAGGAATATACCATAATTCCCATAGTCTAGGGTCCTTAAGGTCATGCGGGATTTATAGCATGAACCGTACCGAGAGCCCCCCGAAAAGGAAACCCACCCTTGATCTCCATCTTCGTCTCTTCGCACACTGCAACACAACAAGGATACTGTTGATGATATAAATCCTGCATTACCTTAAGGACGCTAGGCTATGGGAGTTATGGTATTCCGTATTATGGGTAATGCAGGACCCTAGACTATGGGAATTATGGTATTCCTTATTATGGGTAATGCAGGATGTATATCATCATCAGTAGTTCTGGCAAATTAAGGTGCCTCTTAGGGTCCTGTGATAGAAGGGTGACGTGCTACATTGGTGACCTTAAAAGGCACCCTGATTTAGAGAACTACCGATAAGCTTCCCTCACCCGAAGACTCCGAGTATGCAGATACTGCAGAGAGAGAGAGAGAGAGAGAGAGAGAGAGAGAGAGAGAGAGAGACAACATCCTGCATCACCTCCAGGGTTCTCGTCTATGCGATTGTCATGCACTCCTTGCTGCTCTGGATAATAAGCTGCGAGATTTTCTACACCAGCGTAGTATTGACTCCGGGGCACTGGGTCTGGAGTCTGGAAGTGACACCTACTTTGGGCTTACATAGAGGTGCAGGGTCAGGGTTACGGCCTTGGTGTCCAGAACCTCTAGAATGATCTGATCTCTGTACAGCTGAGCCCCAGACCCTGGACCCGAAAACCCGAACTCGTGTGGGCAACAGGGGGGTTGAACAGAAACCGCGGTACAAGAAACTAGGACCCAAGGGAGCCCGGAAACGACCCAAGGGAACCCGGAGGCATTTGGAACCACTTGCATCTAACAGCCATTCAAAGCTGCTTGGTCGAATTCGGGCAGGCTGCTTCATGTTGTTTACTCTTGTCAAACTTGAAAGGTCATGGGACTTACAAACTAGGGTCATGATTAAGGCAAGTATACTTATACGTTATAAGTACTTAAAACCCCAACTCAGGACTCCCAAAACCCTAAACCCTAAACCCTAAACCCTAAAACCCTAAAACCCTAAAACCCTAAACCCTAAAACCCTAAACCCTTGTAATCATACTTACTAAGTCCCATGATCCCCATCATAGAACCCTATTCTAGATCCCTTTAAGGAACCCTATTCTAGAACCCTATAGTACCTTCATTAAAAGGAACCCTAAACTAAGTCCAAGTACATTCCGCAGTCTAAAAGTCTCAACCCGAAGACCAGGACTCCCAAGGTGTCTCGCACCAGACTTTTAAGGAAACTCTGAAGCCGGAGCCCAAGCGCCCGATTTCTATGGGTATTCGTTTGCTCGTGCATGCAGGCATGAATGGATGGATGGATGGATGCAAGTAGGGATGAATGGATCGACGGCTGCGTGGGTGGGTGGGTGGATGGATGGACGAAGAGAGGAGCGAAGGCTGGCTGGGTGATGGATGCATGGCCGGATGGGTTCAAGGATGGTTGGAGAGAAGGATGGATTGGATGCATGGCTTGCTGGATGCATGTCTACATGTAGGAATCTATACGTGTAGTATGAAACCGGTGGTCTGGCCACAGTATGTGAAGATGCTTGGTCCCGCATCCAGAGTCTGGCTGGCCTCGAGTGCGTAGCTGATGTCTCGAACGGAGAGCTCCATCTCAGATTCAGGTTTGGTGATTCCTTGCAACATGAGTTCTCAAGTGTTAGCATCGAAGTCCTCTACTTAGGCGAGAAATGCGGGTAATGCTGTTCCACTGCGCTGTTGTATGGTCATAGCATTACATGGATACGCAGATTTGCTATACCACTGTTGTAACAACTAGCGACTAGCTCACAAGACATTACTGCGTCGCCAAAGTTCTGGCTTCGTGGCAGAATATGGAATCAGCATGGCACGTCACACCTGAATGCCAAAATTGATGTTGTAGATATTTGGGCCTGCGAATCAAGCGCTGATTTGAGAGTGCAGTACTTAGGGCCAGGTTCCCTTCAAGGTGCACAATTTTGAAGAAGTTCGTCCCATCTGAACGAATCCCAAACAGGCAAAGCCTCCCTTGAGGAGCTGAGTGCAGCGCTGTGCGCGTTCGGAGGTCTTGTGCAGCTGCAGCACGTAACTTCGCGAAGAGTCCTGGAGTCTAAGCTTCTCGCTGAGACTCTGACACGGTTACTTAAAGCATCATGCGACTTAGCAACTAGGGTTATTTTTAAGGTAAGTATGCTTATAATTACTCATAATCCTACTTGAGGTCCTGATTACCGTACTTACTAAGTCCCATGATCCTCTAAGTGGTCCTCTTGCTTACCACCACCCGCTCCTCTCTATCCTCGTCAACGCCATCATCAATGACATCAAAGTACCCAGTTCAGAATGCCTAACACCGGTCCATACACCAAATAAGAGAAGTAGTCGTCGCCGCCGTCCAGCCGTCGTGGTGGTCGTGGTGGTGGTCGCGGTCGTGGTCGTGGCCGTCGTAATTGTAGTTGTAGTAGAAGTAGTAGAAGTAGTAGAAGTAGTAGAAGTAGTAGAAGTAGTAGAAGTAGTAAAAGTAGTAGTAGTAGTAGTAGTAGTAGTAGTAGTAGTAGTAGTAGTAGTAGTAGTAGTAGTAGTAGTAGTAGTAGTAGTAGTAGTAGTAATAGTAGGTAGTAGTAGTAGTCGTCGTCGTCGTGGTGGTAGTGGTAGTGGTAGTGGTAGTGGTAGTGGTAGTGGTAGTGGTAGTGGTAGTGGTAGTGGTAGTGGTAGTGGTAGTGGTAGTGGTAGTGGTAGTTTAGTAGAGTCGTACTAGCTGGTGATGCTGGTAGTAGTGGTAGTAGTGGTGGTGGTGGCGGTGGTGGCGTTTGTGGTGGCCAGGGCAATAGAAGTGGCGATGTCCATACGACCCATAACACCTATTCAGGGCCTATTTTACATGAGCTCTACATAGTACCTACTCTGCGCCATCTTGCTGTGTGAGGGTAGGCCCTAAACCCCAAAACTCCGAAGATCAGCGCAGCGATCTCTTGGCAGATTTTAAATTTCGACGTTAACCGAGGCATTCCTCAGCAGACCAAACAGGGCCCCTATCTTTGGGGAGGTCGGATTAGCTTAGGAAATGTGTAGTTTAGGGTTTAAGGTTTAAGCTTCGGGAGATTTGAGGTTCAGGGAGTTCAGTGGGTTTGAGCTTGGGTTTAAGGTTTTAAGTTTCAGGGTGTCGGCGATAAGTTTTCGGGTTCGCTTTCAGTTTCATGGATGGTACAACTGCTCGATCGGATCTTGGTTGGGTTTAGTTTAGGGTTTAGGGTTTAGGGAGTTTGGTCTGCGAAAGACAGGAATCGACACACACTCAGGAGTGCGGGCGAACGAATAAAGGCTGTCCACACAACCAGCTTTAAAAAAGGAGCCTGTGACAGATGTCCCACGCCTCAGCCGGCGACCTACGGCGATTCCATCCACTCCATCCGACCCCAAGAGGGAGAGTCTTTGCAACCTCATGTTGAACCCAACCTGAAGATCACACAGACGAAAAGAAAACGTCCCTTAGTCGCAGACTGCAATCCGATTATTGTCCCGAGGGTTGGGATGGTGACCTGCCATACTGCAGACAGGCTTACAAGCAATATCCACGATGGGAGTTGCCGATCTGGTGCCCCCAGATGACAACTTTAAGGCCTACTGTAGAACCCAAATACTCAGCCGGACAGCTGCGTTGAAAGTCTGGAGGGCTATCGAGGCGCAACAGTAGGAGTTCATGGTTCGACAGTACCTAGAGGACTAGAGGATCATGCCCTACCCGTTTTGGGGGTAGGTAGTTTTATGGCTAGGACCTCTTACACAGAAAAGTAGGTAACCGCGCAACAGTAGGAGATCATGGTTGGGCCCGGCAGTACCTAGAGGATCATGCCCTACCCCTTTTTAGGGTAGCTAGTTCTATGGTTAGGACCTCTTACATAGAAAAGTAGGTAACCTAAGCAATAGCTTTGGTGTTACGTGGAGCGACAATCTCGTGCTGAACCGACGGATGGAATCAATGGCTTCCAGTGAAACGGCTCTAAAACTCCAGGGTCCTCACCCTGCGGGAGTGAGCGAGAGTGAGAGAGAGGCAGAGAGAGACAAATAGACAGAGAGAGAGAGAGAGAGTGAGAGAGAGAGGGAGAGAGAGCTGATCTTCTGTGGCTTGGCAATCAGGACACCCCTACGATTCTGAAACACTCGCGTGAATCAACAGCAACATGGCCAGCGAGAACGCTATACCGTGGCCTTCACCACCAAGATCGCAATCCCCAGTTAATTCTTCTCATCGCTACCCTGCTCTTACCCTTACGGTTTAGGATGCAGATTCCCTAAACCCTACTCATAGATCCCAAACCCTAAACCCCGATCCCCAAAACCCAAACACTCACTAAAGTATCACACGGCTTCGAAAGGTCCAAAGGTTCTATGCATATCCAAAGCCTTGTTCAGCTTCATGGGGCAACTAGTAGATGTTCTCCTCTAAGACCTTAGGAGTATATAAGGTGTACAGTAACGTGGGGGCCTATAGAAATCGGAATTGGCTTTGGGTCAGATCATAACAAGAAAGGAGGAACGCTAATCCAGGAACTCGGAATGGGTTAAAGGTTGCGTACTCTACTAACCGTCATGTGGGCCCCAACCCTAAACCCTTAAGCCCTACATCGCTAACCCCAAAATCTCAAACACCGTAAACCCGAAACTCTAAAGCCCTAGACCCCTCAAGCCCTAACCCCCGAACCCTACAACCCTATCTCGAAACCCTACTAAGAAGCCTTCATGGGGGATCCCGGGAGCTGCAAAGTATGGAAAACATGTCAGCTTTTGCCGGGTCCTCCGCCACTCGTAGTTTGAAGGTTTAGCGTTTAGGGGCTTGGTCTTCATCAGCATCCCAACTGCAAATGAATGAGTTAGCACACAAAACAGCTTTTAGCATGAAGCAAGCGTGGAAATCATGTTGTGTGTGCACACGCATTTATCAATCTGTCGACATGGGATCAGTTTACATGCTTCTCCAATTCAACTCTATCACTTAGCTGGCGACAACGGCGAAGGACCCTGCAGGAACCCATGCAGAGGAAGTCACGGCATTGCCCTGGCTTCAGCTGCGATACATTCTGCAGCTATGCACAGAGGGTGGGCTGAGGAAGTCGACTCAGTTCATGAACGCAGGCAGCAGGAAGTACACAGAAGTGAACCCTAAACCTTCATAACGAGACAGACCGTCACAATGTCTTTTGAGGGAGAGTGGCTCCAGCAGTAGCTTGGCTAGACCTCCAAGCCTAAGCTCAACGTAAAGGAAGTTCATTGACGCTCTCGAATACAATGAGAAAGCAACAGCTTAAGCCATGAGTAGCTCTGCCAATTCAGCTTCGTAGGGTGCTGAAGGCGAAGCAACACTTGGCTGATAAACCAAACCCAAAGCCCTGTAAGCCCTACACCTCCTAAAACCCGAAACCCTCACCCTAAATACCCAGACCCTAAAACCCCTATAAACCCTAAACCCCAAATGCCTAATACCATCTAACACCCTAAAGGTCTTGGCATGGTTTTGGGATTTTGCTCACGCAGCAAAAAGCCCCCGGTGCCAGATCCAAAAGACCAGGCTCAGCCCCAATGCCTTGGGAAGGATCAGGCATGGCCGGTGTTGACTGTTGGGTTGAGGGCTTGAGGGTTTAAGCCCCCCGCGCCCACACCGCCCCCACCGCTCCCACCGCCCCCACCGCCCTCACCACCCCCACCACCCCACAGCCCCCATCGCCCCACTACCACCACCCCCACCGCTCTCACCACTTCCACCGGTTTACCTTAACCCTGAAGAACCTACTTTTTTAGGTTCCCTATTATGATTTCCTTATGTAAGTCCTGAAAAAGGTAGGTTCTTCAGGGTTAAGGTAAGGGTTAAGGGCTAGGGTTTTAGGATGTTTTAGGTTTGGGGGGCTGAAGCCTAGTCTAGCAAATGGTGGGGTTCGTACTGTAGCAGTTCGTCTCAATTGAAGGCCACTACTTGGAGGATCATGGGACTTAGTAAGTATGGTTATAAGTACCTTAACTGGAGTTAAACGTAATTAGAAGTATAGGTACCTTAATAATAACCCTAGTTACTAAGTCCCATGATCCTTTAAGATATACTCCCCAAACTCGAGCTCTGATTTCTTGACCATCTAAGCAACTCCTGAAGCTGGTGGCTCGCAAGTTCGGTGCCCAAACTGAAACCGAAGTCAGCAGCCAGGAACTTAATGTAGGGGCCTCAACATTTGGGGTGCACGAGGGCGAAGGCCTGCCGACGAAGAGCAAAACGATGGACAACATGAGCATCCTTGTAGAATAGGGTTTCGGGGTATAAAACAACATATAGGTGATGATTTAGGCCCTAAATTTAATCCATCTCACGCCGAAACATCAACGTCGCGAGGGACAAGATGTCGCAAGAGGCCTGGTTCGGGCCCTGTCGGGATGCTATTAGATCTTTGCCCGAGAGGCCTAGCCGTCTCCGTGATTCAGAGTTGAAGGGTCGTGGAGTCTGGTTTTCGGCTGCAGGGCTGAATTAGGCCTCCAGCGAGATGGGTGGGATCGGCAAAACCACCTTAACCCCAAAAAACAAATAACCTACATGTTTAAGGACCCATTTACATTTAAATTAAGGAAATCATAGTAAGAACCCTGAAAATGTAGGTTCTTTAGGTTCCAGGTAAAGGTCGAAACGATGCAGTTGCGGCGCGTTCTGAGCCTTCATGGCCTTCTTCTTCTCCTGGCTATTCTTTTCAACTACCCGGCGCTTGCACAGAGATGGGGCTGGTACTTGGAGGATCAAGGGACTTAGTTTAGGGTTCCCTTTAAGGGTACTATAGGGTTCTATAATAGGGCTCCTTAAAGGGATCTATAAGGGTTCTAGAAGGGGGATCATGGGACTTAGTAAGTATGGTTATAAGTACCTTAACTGGGGTTATAAGTAAGTATAAGTATAGTTATCCCAATATTAAACCTAGCTACTCAGTATCATGGTCCTTTAAGTAGTGGGTCTAGGAATTAAGCCTGACCTAGTACAACCTGCTTCTCTATTGTTGGGCCTACTTAAATAGGGCTCCAACAAAGCACATAAGCAAATTAGCATAGGGATATCGCCTGTAAACCCTCTCATAATGAAGCCCAAGAAGGTAAGGATGTCCTTGTAAATGCTTGTGCTTATACTCAGCTTGGGTCGCTGCTTGCAGGCGGTACAGACTTTGAGGTCGACATTCAACAGAGAAAACCGAAGCTCATGTGCCTCATTTGGGGCTGCCAAACTGGAAGTCAAATCTTCCTGTATGGTAGATGTTCACCCACTACCACTATCATGAAGGTTACTTTAACTTTAAGCCAAGACACTATAGGGGTTCAACAACGGTTTCTATGAGGAATCTACAAGGGTTGCCATCAGGTTATAAAGCCCAGGTTCTGTTTGCAACACTGCTATGCGGTGCCCGAGTTATAAAACTCGCGCACCTGTGCACCCGAAGCTCTGGGTTTCAGATTCCAGGGATCTGGCTTGGGTTCTCTACCCTGCAAACAGACTTGGAGGGGCAGGGGACTTAAAAGTAGGGTTATAACTGGGGTAACTCCAATTAAGGTACTTATAAACTCTACTTATAACCTGCTTACCCCTCCAAGTAGGTCCTGGAATATACTCGAAGCCCTACAATCTGCTTGATGAACCCTGTAGTCACTGTAGTCAACCGTGGGGTATAGTGAGGGGGCAGCCCCAGGAAGCTTCACTGGGCTTTAAGCTTTAATTACTCTCTTTACAAACCGTAGCCCATTTGCAATCTTTCCGAACTTCCAACTTGTTCAATACTGGAGTGGATTCCCTTAAGCCACAAGCCCTAAACCGATGCTAGTAGGTTAACGTAGCGTGACGACACAAGATTCGGAATCTGGACTACGCGGCACTTTGGTGGTTCTTCAACTTGCCTGCTGACTCCAAGTCTCAATAAATTCTTTGTCGCATTCTCGGCTTGCCGTTTGGGGTTTCGTGATGTCACGACTGCTACCAGCTAGCCCCGAAGGGATTCACAGTGTACAGGAGACCTTTAAACATGGACTGTCCAGAGACTGAACCCCAACACATAAAAATCCCTGACTGCCTGAAGGCGCCAATATCCTGCTCGCATTCTTGAAGCGTTTTACAGTACTGGCAAGGAGTTCCAAGGCCATGAACCCCGCAAGTGTATCGATCAGACTGCTAACCTAAACGCTTCTTGCACTGTGGCCGACCCTCCGGATGCTGCACGGCTTTCGGACAGAGACATGCCGAAAGGAAGAGAGTTCTTCTAGCATTCCATGGTTGTTGGTTCAATGTGTCAAGACTCACGGTGTAGACTAACTTCATTTACCTCATTTACCTTTCTGCGCAGGCAGTCAACAAGGCAGACGAACTCTGAAGCAATTCGCACCTACTCTCACAGCTCACTGCGGGTGTGCTTGCACTGCATCCTTTGTCGGCCAATGTCTCGTGTTCCCATGTGCACACGCATCCGTCGCCTTCTCGTCCAATCGTACCAACTCTCGTCGCGCTGCAGTTGATCATCAAGTGCAGGTGGTAGCGCAGTCCATGGGACAATCGCTTGGTAAGATGCTGCAAGCTGCAGCGAGCTACTTCTACATGGCACAAAACTAATCCACTTGCAGCCCCTCTCGCATCCGCCACATTTCCATCCAATGGCTTCATCCCGCAGATAACCACTTTGAGGCTTGATTGGCCCGAAAGAACCGACAAGAATTGCAGCTGCCCAGGTGTGATGACAGAGGCTATGCCAGATCTCATGCAATCAAGGTCATTAAGGAGTGCCATCTCGCCACCAATAGATCCGTATAGTCTTTGCCAGAAACCCCCGGGTACTTTCCCAAGGAGAAGCCATCGTTGACCTCCTGGCAAGAGTATGGAGCACTGCTAGGGTGTATATTCTAGGGGCCGCAACAGCTACAATTCGATTATGGGGAGGGGTTATGATAATGAAGATATACAGATAGTTTTAAGGGACACTACTGACACTACCCTTACCTGCCCCCGTAGTCACACAGCCCGTTGACGCAGATTCCACAAAAAACATCCGGAAGGATGCTCCCGGAGCTGCTGACTTGTCGAAGACAGCATCGATGCTGCAGTGGGGGATACTGTACTAAGTTGGAACCCCTCAAAAAACCTTGACAAAATAAGTATCTTCAGCATCCGCATGGGAGTTTCCGAGCATAGGGGACCCAAATACAGTACCCTAAATAGTAGGATCCGTACCATCAGGACCCAAAATAAGGTACCCCTAATTTTCGAAAACTCCCACATCCTTCAGATGCAGACAGGCATCCACCAAGCAGGTACCCTCTTCAAGCACGGCAAAGTCCATGCCAAAGCCGGCAAGATTGTGGCCTTCTTCGCCTTAGTCGGAAAATACCCTCAACGCCAAAGAAGGGAACTGTAGCTCTTGCGGCCCATGTCCTTAAGGGTTTAGGGTTTAGGGCCGTTTAGGCTTAATTGACTGCTGCCTGTAGATGGCCAGAACAGCCCTCTGGGGTACTTGGGAGTTGCCGGACACCACGGCTTCCTTATCTGGGGTCCTTATCAATTGGGGTTCTGTACTGGGGTCCCTGACATTCTGATATTACTATCCCACAGCTGACTATGCACCATCAGCTGGAATAAGCTTGTGCATGATGGAGGATCCTGTACGTGATAGTTATCGAGCCAACTACGCCTACGAATGGCGCCCGACATATTTCCTAAACGCTGAACCTACACTCCTTGGAAGACATAGTGTAGGCTGGAGGCTGCTAAGTTTGCGTTCAAGTGGCTCTGGCACAGCGTCTGCACAGCTTCTTTCACCACCTGATAACAAACCAGCTCAACCAGTAGGGTATACCTTAACCTACCAATTAAGATAAGGGTCGGCCAGTTTTTTAGGGTTTAGGGTTTATGGGGTTTAGGGTTATTCCCAGACTCATCCATCTCCGCACCTCATGACTAGGACCTGCAATCAGTGTTAAACTGAGCAGCCAAACCTGCAGACTTTATGAGACAAACACTGGACCCGGAGCCTATAAGTGGGTGGTTGTCAAAATTAGGGTCCCCTTTTGGGTCCTTAGTAAACATACGGCACCTAATATTTAGGGTGCCCAAAAAGGGACCAGAATTTGGACAACTACCCAAGTTTTTATATTGTCCAACCTCTGACAGCTGGCGGTCAAGAAGATTCGGGGCTTACCCTCGGAGGCCTCAAAAGGTGGGATGAAGGTAGGTGGGATATTCCCAAATAAGAGTCCTTATATAAGGGATCCTTAATCCTACCTACCTTCATCCCACCCTTTGAGGCCTCCGATACCCGGGGCTTTTGAGGGATGTTTGAGTCTTTGAAGCGGCCGGGACCTGGGAGCCTCGCACATGGCGTGAAGTTCCCAGACCTTCCAAAATCCCTTAATTAAGGAATATACCTTAAATCATATTAGGGACCCTGTTATAATTTAAGGTATATTCCTTAGTTAAGGGGTTTTGGAAGGTCTGAGTTTCGGGATTCACAACCACAACGAAGACGGCAACGACAGCAAGAAGAGCAGACACAACAGCCGAGAAGAAACACGACAGCACACCACCACCGCCGCCGCCACGACGACCATCACCACCACCAAGAAAAAACAACAAGCATGAGGCGACAACGACGAGGACTGTGAGAGGGTCGTGGCTGCATGTCTTGAGCTCACGACACAAGTCTCAGGTTCAGTGGGACGTCGAGGCTGAAAGATTCGAAGTTGAGGGCATCGAGGTAAGCATCCCAAAAATCCTATCCCGTCGCCCTAAGGCTTGCGGATCGAGGGTTCTAGGGTTTCTGGTTCGGGGTTTAGGGCTCAGGAGGTATCAAGACCGAGAGGCTTTCTTAGTTTGGGGGTTTAGAGCAGGGATCAACTAAGGCTTCGTATGCCGGCTTACGGATCTCCGTGTTGCGCTTCTTAGAGTTCGAGGCATCCGGAGGAAAGGTTGCCCGTTGCAAGTCCAAGGGGCATTCAGATCGAGTGCACCTGCCCCCTCACTGGGGCCCTTGTAGTGGCAAATGGCACGGATCTCCTGTCAAAGGCGCCAGGGACGGTACATCATCTGATCCAAACCTGTAGCTGTCCTAGAAGTGTGATGAAGGAAGAAAGCAGTTGTCTAAAAACATGAGCCCCGAAGTGGTTGTCTGGAGCCCTCGTGCTCCGGATAGATCCGATCTTGAAGCCTGCATCGAACTCCTGTATCCTTCATGGCGAATCTGGGACACTGAGCAGTAGGGATCAGGGCAGGAAGTTGGGTGATGAGGGGTCCTGTACACTACCCCCTTTGGTCGCCAAATACGTCTGCGTACTGCGCCGAAGATGGCCTGGCGGTTATGTAAAACGCCACCACCTGCTGAACAAATGCCCCAGCACCGGAAAAACTCGTACACCTCTACGGCTCAAACCTATGGTCCTGCCAGTCACTAGAACCCAACAGATATTGAATCTTCTCCCGCAAACCCCTGCCCGAAACCTAAGGCACTGAAACTCTCTTCAGTCCAAGACCGTCCAAGACTCTCAATGCCAAATGCTTGCAAGCCCTCAAGCCTCAACCACAAGACCGCTATCCTCAAGGCCGACAAAACCAAACCTAGAGGGGCAGATGCCAGTCGACTGGAATTGGAACCAGCGGTAATCATGATAGCATTACCTGTGCCCCCCCAAAAAACAATAATTTTTCAGGGTTTGTATACAGAAGCCAAAAGTCAGGTTTGTAGATTACAGGATATTTCTTATCAGGAATAGTTCATGATTCCAATCGTTCAGCGTATGAGAAGCTCACTACGACCCACAAACCTCCAAGTCCGGTACATCCTGCACTGAAGCTGGACCATGTCATAAGCCCCGCCCTACACGCCCCGGGCCCCAGACCCTAAACATCCCTAAACCCTATGCGCCCCAACCTAATTCCAGACCCGCAGATCGACTTCGGCTGAGGATCCCGGTGGACAACGTACACGCGGTATTCGGAGATCATGTCCACCACCTCGTCTGATAATACTGAGAGTTGTAAGTGTATTCTTAATGGAGAACAGTCATGGTCCCAGACATCACAACAACACTTATAGTCACGCCAGCATACAAATGATTGCTGTAAAGAACCCCAACAGCCATGGACATTGTCGTAAGGATCATAATCATGCGTAGTGCCACCCTGCTCTGCAGGCTTCGGGCTGCTCGGATTTGCGGGTTTACAGACGGATTTCGCCTTAGGGGTTTAGAGGGGGTGGATTTTGGGTTTCGGGTACAAGCTTCACGGAATTCGGGGCACTGGTTCAGGGTTTTGCGACAGCTACATATCGGGCTAGATTCTATCCCAAGGTGGTGGGCTGGAACATAGGGCTGGTTGGGTTTAGCGTATGCGTCAGAGCTTGAAGAGAGCTGAGCCATTGCGGAGGTTTTGCGTTTAGCTATCCATCGTGCAACCTACGTACATGTGAACCGATACTCATTACCCACAAACGATTCTCCAGTAGCAGGGTTTTTCTTCCGTTGTTGCTTCTTAGCGCTTTGTGCTGTAGCAAATGGATGAGCGTGACAACACAACATCTTCTGCGGGACCCGAAGATCTCAGCAGAAACAAATCGACGACAACATCCGGCCAAGGCCAACCTGAAAGACAAACCAAAACCTGAATTGCCTATAGTATCCATTTAGTTCTTTTTCGGTTTAACCAAATACATAATTAGGATCCTGTATGGTAACCCCCAAAAGGAACTACAATGGAGACTACAGGTACTTCCAGAACACATCGACAGGGCTCCTGTCACCTGTTCAGCCAAGATCCCATAATACTGCACAACGTGCTATTTCCCTGAGGGTCCCTGTACCCAAATAGTATATACTTTGGCCTTTAAGTACCCCCTATACAGGTACATTGGGGCCAGAGTATATACTTTTTTGGGTACATGGACCCTTAGGGTTTGGCACCTATCATCCCAACTACGTTAGGCCCTTGCTCCACGACACCCTGCACTGGCCCTGCACCCTGAAGCCTAAACCCCAAAGCCCCAAACCCAGAAGTCCTCAAAGCTCTGCTTAGGGGCTGAATATCCTAACCCAAAGCCTTGAGATAATGGTAGGTTTTCTTTTATGAGAGGGTGTTAAAAAGCCCGCTTAAATCATGCTAGGACTACTTATAAACCCTCAAAAGGTTAAGGACCCCTCCTAAGCCCCGAAGTTCGACAAAGCAAGGTATGGGGTTGATCCGAATGTAGTACCCTAGTAGGATTCGGATTATGAGGACCCCCCAAAAATCGGTGCCCCTAGTTTTCAGAAACTCTAAACCCTAAACTCTTTACAGAACCCGTTTAGATCCCTTTTAATGAACCCTTAAAGGGATCCCTTTAATACCCCTAATTTTCGGGAACTTCCATATGGCCTCCGCACAATGCACGGGCAGGTTGAAGGGCAAGGGGCTGATGCAGTCGGGGATTCCTCGTGGACACGAACAAAGGGATTTACTGTTGATGATATGGGGGTTGATCAAAAATCTGGGCCCTTTGGGGGTCTGTATTACAGTATATTCCTTAAGGTCTTCGGGACCAAAAAGGGGCCCCTAATTTTGATCAACCCCCATATAAATCCTGCATTACTTTAAGGACCCTAAACTGTGGGAATTATGGTATATTCCTCGTTATGGGTAATGCAGGATTTAAATCATCAACAGTATGTCCCCAAATCCCGAACACTAAAGGGTTTAAAAGGGATGTGTTGTGTTTAGGGGCTTAGGTCTTCAGGGTTTAGCGTTCTAGTAGGGACTGGTGATATTTCGGTTTTGGGGTTGCAAGGCTTCAACTCTTCGCTCGAAAGCGGTTTTCCTTTGCCCAGGGACTGCAGACGCATAGTGCGGAGGGATCAGAGTTGAATCGCGGGGCTGTAAGTAGTGGCTGTAGCGATTACATGAGGGCGTCGTTGAGGAATTTCCAGGAAGATCTGCCTTCGATGCGCTTCATGCTGATGACAGGAGACACATTTTCCATAAGCCTCGAGGTTTAGGTGGAGGTGTGAACATATTGAGCTATTTGTCCAGTACGATTGTGAAGATGCCTATCAACTTGAAAGTTAAAGAATTGGCCTAAGTACCTCTACTTCTTGGTTCTTGGTAGGGAATGGGGCATGGAGCCCTTTTGTAATCCCTTTATAGTAGTCCCTGCAACCCATTCCCCCATTCCCTAGTAAGGAGCAGGGAGCCTATGCCCATGTTTTTCTTCAAGTCCACCCGAACCTCGGCATAAAATTCGTAAGATCTCCCAGACCTTCCAAAAGCCCTTAATTAAGGAATATACCTTAAACTATATGATTCAAGGTATATTCCTTGATGAAGGGATTTTGGAAGGTCTGGGCTTAGCATGCTTCGGAGGAGCCCGGGCTTAAACGGTGGTCACTAAAACCCAAAGCAAAACAAACTAAACCCTCAGCACTGAACCCCAGACGTCAGACGTATACCACAGATCAAACCCTAAACCAAACATCCGATAATCTTGCTGTCTGTATAGAATCCGAGAACGACTTCTGAAAAAATTGCAATGATATCTCCGACATGACAACCTAGCAAAACCAATTCTACGCAAGGTCCCGAAATTATATGAAACCTTCTAGATCACTTGTAGGACCCTAAACCACCATTAAAGAACTCTTATAGGTACCTAGAAAGTCTTGATACCCTAAACTCTCGAACCCAATCCGAAGCTCTAAACCCTAAAACCTCAAAGACGCCCTAGTTGCTCCCAGTCCTTCCAGAAGTGGCGCCAGCATCCTGAAAGGAATCCCTAAATCCGAAACCCGGCGAAACCCTAAAACCCTAAATTCTTAAACCTGTAGGGTTTAGGGTTTAGGGCCCCTAAATTCTTAAACCCTAAGATCTCTTTCTTAAACCCTAAGACCTCTTTCTTAAACCCTAAGACCTCTAAACCCTAAACTTGGGCTGTTGTTGCCGGATATGTAGTTGAGTGGGTTCCAAGGTTTAGGGTTTAGGGTTTAGGGTTTAGGGTTTGGGGGTTTTAGAGCTTTTGGGATGAGGGCTTCAGGGTGTTTAGGTTTGAGTTCTTCACGGCCTTATGGGCTGCTTTCGGGTCAAGGGCTTCGTGTTAGTTACAGAACCCAGGACCCACTCAGCTAGTACGTCAACGCTGACGGGCATCTGATCCCGGGGTTCCACGATAGCGGAGAAGGCTTTCGTGTCTACGGCCGGCTTGATGAAAACCTGGTAGGGGCTTGGCTTCAGGGCGCTGGTTGAAGAGCTACGGATTTTTGGGCTCCGGGGTACCTATTATTAGCAAAATTAATACACTCAGGAACCCTCTAAGGAATAGTATCAGTGATTCTGTTTTCGGGCTTTAAGAACTAGGGCTTCAGGGTTGAAGCACTTCAGGTTTAGCATGGAACACGAAGTGCTGGAATCTAAGGGGTGAGGGCCCTTGGCGAGCTGGCTTTGCCCAAGGAGGCTTCGGTTGAGGGCTAGGTGCTTGGGGGAGAATGGGACTTAGTATGAATGCAAGAACATTAATTGGGGTTAAAATTAATGGGAGGGTTGGGCTTGAGGCTTGGTAGGGTTGAGTCAGCCCTAAACCCTACACCCCATTCAATAATGGACCAACCCTAAACCCTCAACCCTAAACCCTAAACCAACCAACCAACCCAAACCCTAAACCCCAGTTAATTGCTGAGTCATTCTACCGAAAGACCTTTCCAGGCCAACCTTTCCGACCATCAGAGAAGGTAGAGTTCAACTGGCAATGAAGCACAGTAGTAGGAAGTAACAAAACCTGAAGTCGTACTAGTAGCCCCATACCCCACTGTATGAATATAAAACTATAAACAGTATGCCATACCCCACAATCCTACGTTGATTCACTATTGGCCCCCTCTGTTAGAACCTAAACCCCAAGTCCTGAGCAAACACCCAAATCTGAAGCCTACACCAGGAATGCCATGATTCCTCCATGTTCTTGCAACCGTGGAGCATCCGCAACCGGCCAGGTAGCTGTACAAGAAGCAGTGAAGGGGGTTAAGGGTTCGTTAGAAACGTGTTGCCTAGAGAGATGAGTGATGATACTACGACCAAATGGCACAAACAACACGCATGATGCAGACAAAACATATTCCGGCTGCTACGGCAACTGGGCGCAGCAACATGAGCATGGCACGTATGATAGGCAGAGACTGACTCAAGCGAAATAATTACTGCTCCAACGAACGAAAAGAGCTCAGAAATTAGGTCTCAACCCTCAACCCTAAACACTAGATGGATGTGTGCGTCAGGCAGCGAGGGGGACAAGGGGTTTGTTACCTACTTCAACCCGACCTGGTGGTCAGCGTCCGGCAGAGACCTGAGCTTCTATCAATAAGGCTCAAAATGGCCCAAAAACCTTATATCATATGGGTGGTTGTGAAAATTAGGGTCCCTTTTTTGGGTACCCTAAATATTAGGTGCCGTATTATAGAAAGGACCCAAAGGGATCATCATTTTGACAACCACCCATATGATCTTTAGGCACAAAAGCCTTAAACGGGAAGAATACGAAGTTTAGAGGTTCCCTTTCGGGCTCCTTTTTCGGGGATCCTGCCAGGGACCAGGGATGAATTTAATGAGGGATTGAAACTGTTGGGTTTAGGTTTCTGATTTAGGGCCTGGGGTTCCTGCCTTGGAATGCGCAGAAGAAGATGCAGAGGGGGAACACAAAGAGTGGATATGTGCACTGATCTTCCAGTTTGTGTCCCACAAACCCTAGACCCCAAAAGCCTTGAACCCTGGCCCTAAATCCCTGAACCCTAAACCCAACCCCTCCTAACTCTAACTTCAAGCTCGGTAAAATGGACACAACGCTTTTGATCTGCCTCGGCGTTGGGACCTTGAGGGTGAGATATAACTGTCTGCAGCTGACAAAGGTTGTTCAAAGGAGAAGGCCCTACCCTCTCAGATTCTAACCTACAAAACTACCAGCCGGATCTAAGTAGTAATCGATTGAAAACTCTACGGGAGGGCAAAGCTGGTCCAAGCATGCCTGAATTCGTACAGAGATCTGTCGCGTGAACTCACAGTCTGCAAAGAGCGGAAGTTGCTGCTTGCCAATTGCAAGTTCACGAAGCGGAAAACATAACCGAACACTTATAAGGACCCCTTAAAGGAACCCTATTCCAATTTTTAAGGCCCTATACCATAGAACCCTACTATAGTAGCCCTTAAAGACCCCTTTAAAGGGCCTTCTACTGGTTTACTTGCAGAGCCCTCAGCCCAAAGAACCCAAACTCAAAACTCTAAAACCTGAAGCCAGGAATCCTAAACTTTGAACCACAAATCCTGAAATCTTCACACCCTAACTCCTAAACCCAACCTAAAGCTTAAACTCAGAAAAGAAAGGTTGAAGAAAGACAAGTGGCGAAGCGAGCTGTTCTCGAATCTCGCCCAGGGTGGACTGCCAGATTCCTGTGCTGCTGGCTTCGTGCGTGTGGTTTGGGGTTTGGGAGGTTTGGGGTGTAGGGGTCAGGGTTTAGGGCCTAGGGGTCAGGGTCAGGGCTTTGGATTTAGAGTTGCGGCTTAAGGTCAACATGGTCTTCCAAGGCTTAGGAAAAAGCTCGATCTGCTCGAAAGGTCTATCTTGGTCAACTCGTGTGCCTGTCTCCAGAATGCCGTTCTATATCTTCTTGGCAAGATATTTCGAGCCATACCTGGACCGCACAACATCAACATGCATTGAGAGCTTGACCAATGAAACACGAGACCCCTAAACCCTAAACCCTAAACCCGTAGATCCTGGTTTAGTATATGCGGCTTGAAGGCTGCTCCTAAACCCGAGGCCCGAGCCATTTGTGTAAATCGGTCATGGGGCTCTGGCTTCATCCCGTGGCTAGAAGGCGTAATAGAGGATAGGGTTTTGGGGCCCATTGTACTATGGTCTTAGTAAGGATCTCCCAAAACAGTTCGTGTACTTATCTAGGCCCCTATATTAACCCCTAAAGCCCTAAACCCCAATTCGCAGCCAAAAGGTCCAAGATCTTCAACAAATGTTGGTGGAGACCTCTGTCGCCTGAATCCCTGAAGTCGCAAACCCCCACCCTAAAGTTTACTAAATCCGAGATACATATGTATACATGAATGTGTGTGTGTGAACAAGTATGAGTTTGTATACAGCTTTAAAATTATGTACGTGTGTGTATGTTTGTTTGTATCAGTGTATGTATGTATGCAGGTATGCATCTATGTCTATGTCGATGCCTATATGGCTATGGCGATGTCTATAGCTATGTATGTTCACCCCAACACACCCTGTATAAACCCCTATCAAAGCCAATAGCTCGCAGACAAAAACAACCAGACAAACCGAACTCCACAACCGCGAAACCTCACGAAGTTCCAAGCCTAAGATTCTTCTCCCTGGTTCTTTTTAGCTAATCGGTGAATGAGTCATGGGGACGACCACGGAGTCTTGCAGCCGAAACCCTAAACCCTCCGAAGTCTACTACAGGGGCCTAAATAATTACTAATACTTCTTTGGGGGGTTCCTGATTATAAGTTTCGTATAATGGGCCCCAAACCCTTTCTAATTATTGAGGGTCCCTATGTTAAAGCTCTTGCACTCGGAACCTCAAGGGACCAAAGGGCCCAACACGAAGAGCGCAAGGGGTAGACATTCCAGGACTCTCCTTGTCAAATGGGGCAATATATGGTCCCCAGTAGTGGGTATTTAGCGTCTAGTAGAAGGTAGATGGCGGGTCTGGGTTCCCCTTTTTTAAGCTTTAAAGAATATTCCTTAATGACCCTTTAATGATGAAGCCCCTTTGGTCCCTACTTGCGGGTATTTTTTAATCCGACCACGAAACCAAGACCATAGCAAAAGCTACAGCTTTGGGCAGGTGTCTTCGGCGCAAAAGGTGCTGCAGACAAGTCGGATAGTCCGGCCTCGATGGCTCTTGGCATAACCGTCTCGGGATTCAGTGGGCTTCATGGGACTCCACAACTTTCCCATGCCAATTTATTCTTCTATATCCAACGTGGAATGTTGATCTCGCAATCATAGAATACCAGGCGACGAAAAAGGAACTGTTATGTTGCAGGGCATGGGTATGATTTAGGTCGTGAGCAAGTGGGACATAGAAGCCCTTTCAAGAGGTCAGAACAAGTGGAAGCTTTCAACCTAATGCCAGAAACTTCACCCTTCCTCCTTCCTCCCCTAACCCGAACCCCTGTAAACTGTTCAGTCAGCCAGCGATCATAATTAGCCACGGATCGGCTGTGGCATGGGTATCCCCAGTTGCTTCCTGACCAACGAGGAGCAAGCTTGCAGCTCTAGAAATTCATAAGGATTGCGTTGGGTTTTGGGCCGGTTAAGACACAGAACGAGAGTGGCAAAATCTAGTCCAAGCCGCGTTGAGACTAAGAATAGCCACGGCAATAATCGCGATGACAAAAATGTGGCGAAACAACAATTAATGATGCACCTAAGGAAAAACAATCACGACGGAATCTTTACGTATGTCATGTCAGAAAGCTGTCAACTGAAGAACCGTTGGAACATGATAATTGCGCCCCACACCCATGCCAGACTCATGCAATGCTCGTAATATGAAGATCTAAAATCTAAAACATGTAACACCGCGTAAGACCGTCAATCCATAAAGGGAAATATTGGGATTCCTTGACAAGAGCCCTGAAAGACGGTGAAATGAAGCTTTGTGCGCATGAGCTGGAAGCCTAGGCCAAACAGAAATGCCTTGAGCCTTAAACGCCTGAACTTCTAGATCCGGCAAGCCGTAAGCTCCGCAAACCAGGGGCATGCGTCCCTGAAACGAAAAATACCTAAACCTCTAGACTGCCTCAACATCATCAAACCCCACTACACTAAACCTTCAAACACCACACCCCCAAATCTCTAAAGAGCTTCTGCTGACGAAAACAGCTACTGTTGGATTAAGCCGGGATTTGGACTCCGAAAGCCCAAGACACTTCAATCGAAGAATTGCTTGAAATTTCTTAAACCATGACACGGAGAACTATGTCACTATGTACTTTCAGGTATGATCTGTTGGGTCTTAACGGGTATTGGAGGAACCCGGGCCAGTCTCGGACTTTCTACTAAGTCAGTTCAGGGACTGGGATTTAAAGCTTTACCTAACGTTGCAGTTCCCTGAATCACTGACCCTAAGGGTCCATGTACCCAAATAGTATATACTTTGGCCTTAAAGTACTCTCTTTATAGGTGCATTGGCCGCAAAGTATATACTAGTTGGGCACATGGACCCTTAGGGTGAAGCCTGCAAAGAGGGGCTTGGTGGGCTGAGTTCGGGACTGGGGGTCTGAGCTTCAGGATCTAGGGTTTAGGGTTCTAGCGCCGTTGTCCTAGAAAAGTAGAGGCAACTTGATCTGATCTTAACATCCGGAGCAAAACTGCGAGCTAATTCAAGTACACGAAGTAGGCTTTCGATTGTGGAATTTGAGGGGAGTGCATATGCATTTGTATGTATGTATATATATATATATACATATACACATATACCCATAATGAAACTCAAGTGAAAGCTTGCCAGGTCGCAGGGCCGTCCGAGTCCAGTCGAAATCGCCCACGACCAAATCATCCTTGACGCAGGCCAGTGGCGGATACCGAGCGGGATCATGATTGAGAACAGACCCCAGCATTGTTTATGCCGGCGGATGGTAAACCCTAAACCCTAAACCCGAAACTGTAAACGTGTATAATGAACATTACGTAATAAACTATAGTTGAATTACTCATTCTGCTTCAGCTTCTGAGGTCTCTATCAACAAGCTCTGCATTGTCCCCGTCCTCAGCTTGAAGCTGACACCTAAACCCAGAAGCCTCCAATCCAACTGTCCCAAAAAATCCCGACGACCTCATCATGCTGGTAACCGCGTGCCCCGCGACCCCGCAACGCCAGCACATCGTGCAATTTTGATTAAAAGCCGCCAGTGGCCGAATGTGTGTTTTCACATGTTTTTTGTTGCCGGGATCCCGTTCTGAGCGGCCTTGCAGCACTGATCCACAGTACTGGCTTTACTGCTGAACTGTCCAATAATTGAAGAAGCCTTGGCAAACTCGGCATTTTCAGAACACGCCGAAGAGATCCTCAAGGCGCAAACGTTGCTCATTTCCTTCGGTACATATCGCGGACTGCTCCTACTGCCGCTGCTGATGCCGCTGCTGCTGCTGCTCGCACGACTGACTACCGGGAGTGGTGGCAGTAAACTAATAGCAGTCGTCGCTGTTCTACTTATTACTACTACTACTACTACTACTACTACTACTACTACTGCTACTACTACTACTAGTACTACTACTACTACTCCTGCTACTACTACTACTACTACTACTACTACTACTACTACTACTACTACTACTACTACTACTACTACTACCACTCCTGCTGCTGCTGCTGCCAGCATTAACATTCTTACTACTACTACTACTACTACTACTACTACTACTACTACTACTACTACTACTACTACTACTACTACTACTATTGCTACTGCTACTGCTGCTGCTACTTCTACTTCTTTGACGACTACTACGACTACGATGACTACGACGACTACGACCACGACGACTACAGCTCTGAAACCACTCGTGCTGCCAGTACTGGTAAGCCCAGTCGTACTACTACTGCTGCTACTAGAAGCACTCCTGCTCAAAATCCTAAGCAGATGTAGGTGGCTGGGCTGTTAGGATGAATGAAGAGCTTCGAAGGCTTGGATTTAGATCTAGAGTTCGTGTCAACAAGGAACCCTTTGACAGACCTAAGCCAAAGGGTCACTCTACAAGTATCCCCGCGAAGGAAAACGAAGCCCAACATTCTCAAAACGGAAAGCCACATCAGGTCGGTCGAGGATCTCTGGTCAGCGGAAACGGCTCTGCCAGCCTTTGCGTTGCGGGTTTAGGTCCACCAATGACTCAGCCCGTCCTACCGAGGGAAGGAATAGCAAGAAGTGCTCGTGGTTACACCAACCTGTTCATTTTGTCAAGATGCCGAAACCGTAATTGTTGTCAACGACTTGACACAGAGACGTTTGTCCACCATCCTGGTTCGATAAGCAATACATGACGACACCTCCTACGGCCTGCAGGCCGTGCTGCTCAGAATCATCGGAATGTCTTGGCCCGCTAAGTGCGAGATCACCAACACAATCAACATCAGCATTCTTCCATTTACAATCACCACCTTCATCTTCAGCGGCACTACCGCCAGACCCTTGAAGCCTAAATCGTCGCTGGCCAGGGCACATGCTCTCTGTCGTTCGCAACTCGACGGGCACCCCCCGGCCACGAAGTTCCACCACGAGATCCTTGTAGTCCTCTATCCCTAAGGGTCCATGTACCAAATAGTATATACTTTGTTTGGCCTTAAAGTACTCTCTGTATAGGTACATTGGGCCCAAAGTATATACTATTTGGGTACATGGACCCTTAGGGTATGCTTCGCCACGTTTCGCCCTGAGTTAGGGTGTTAGGTTTGTAATACGGCTTTCGGATTTATAAGAAGGATTTGGGGTTTCGGATGTAGAATAGGGGTCTAGGGTTTCGGATTATTACAATAGGGTTAGGCCCGAAGACCCCCAACGTAACAAGCATCAACATAAAGCAAACAACAAGGCCCCAAATGCCTCCAGCCGGAGACAAACCAGCCCGCGGGAGACAGCCAGTAACCACGAGAAACTCTCTGCTTAAAACTGTGTCCTTGTCTGCTTACAACTCTATGTTTCTGGCGTCATGCTTTGATGCATCCATGGTGAAAACCAGGTAGAGAGAAAAGTCATGTCCGAACCTGGTCTTCGGCTTTGCGCATACATCTATCTACCTGAGTGTCGAGCACTACTTGGGGACACTTCAACTTCAACGTCAGGACACAGGGATCACAAGCAGTCCTCGGGAATCTCGTCGAAGGTTTGCACGAAGGCTCGCGCCGGAAACCGCGCTTCCATGTGCACTCCACGGCAGCAGTGTGCTCGTGAGAGGCGTAGATGTACCGAAAGACAACTAGTCATGTAGGAAGTCTGAGGCTTGGTGAAGCGATTAGCTAGCAGCCATAATTACCCTCGCAAACGCAGCAGGTTAGCAACTGAAATGCTCTTCGAGCCGAAACGAATCGACGAAGGAAAAAGAAGCATGCTCGTTTCTGTTGGGAGCTTTCACTGGGACTGTAACGACAGTGACACACCTGGGGCGTAGAGTCTAGAACTTTCGTATGTTTTCGTCCCCTTTGAAGTGAAGGTTTCTTCGCTTCGGGGTCTACATCTACGATGCTACGGCACACCACCTGTGATTCCTGATAGTCCGAGAGACACCAAGGAGGAGATCGTGCACTGCATGCGTTCATGGCAGGTAGGCGTTGCCACTGAAAAAGGCAGCTGCCTCAAACGTGCACCTGCCGCGCACCCGCCTTGTCGTCCGTTCCGCGAATGACTTCCAACGAAACGAAAGCAAAGATACCTGCTCCGGGTTTAAGTCGAGGGTTTGGGATTCGGGCGTTCTACTCCGGTCTCGTCTAGGGCTGCAGCAGCCTACGACGGAAGACTTATTATCCAGACAGACAGACAGACAGACGGACCGACCGGCAAAAAGACAGACACACACACACACACACTCGCTAGCTTAGCTCTGAAATTGAATGACGGATATAGAGGCGTTAGTAGCCGGGACCGGTTTGGGGGCGTACATGATACTCTAGATATGTATGGACCTTACAGGATATGTAGCGACTAATTATTCGGACCCATGCTCTACTGGAACTCCCTCGCCAAGCTGCTCGGCCTTTTTAATTTAAGCCTTCAGGACCCACCTACGAGCTAGGATTAGTTGGACCCTTGGGGGATATAGACCCTCTCAGTAAGGTCCTTTTTAAGAGAGCGAAGTAGGGTTAAGAAGGGTCTCCTTTAAGGGGCCACTCTCCTACGACCTAGGACCACCCTGAAAGCTCTGCAAGGATCAGGCTTCTAGGGGCCTGGGCGTGCGACATCGGGCCCCCAAATCCTAAACCCTCAACCACACGCAGTAAACCCAAGGCCTAAACCCTAAACATCCCTAAACCCTAAACCCCTAAACCCCAAACCGCAGGCAGCAAGCCCAAAGCCTAAACTCCCCAAGCCAAGCCTTAAACTCCCAAAACCTCCGCCAGGGCATGAAACCAACCCTGTAGTAGTTCTCTAAACTAGGGTTGATGATTTAGGTTGCTTTAAAGGGATCTATAAGGGTACCTTTACTTGTTCCTTGAGGGGAATTTTAGGATTTTAGGGTTTAGGGGTTAGGCTGATGATATAAACCCTGCATTACCTTAAGGACCCTAAACTACGGGAATTCTGGCATATTCCTATTGTTATGGGTAATTACTGCAGGGTTTATATCATCAACCCTAAACCCTATAGATCGATCCCATAAAGGAGCCCCTTAAAGGTACCCTTATAGATCCCTTTAAAGGAACCGCAGGATTTATATCAGCAGCCGTCGGGTCGCTTCTAGGCCCCCCCCCCCATAACAGCACGGCGCGCGTATATAAAAAGGGGCCCTAAAAGGGACCAAGAGGGTAAAACCCTGTAGAACCCTGAGAGGAACCGATATATATATATATATATGTATATATATATATATATTCATTTATTTATTTATAGATCCGTTAAGGAACCTTGAAGGGGGACCCTAATTTAGAGAACTACCCGGAAAGCAGACGGCAAGCCTGAGATGCTGAAGAAGCGCATCAAGTAGTCCTTAGAGTCTACCTATAGTCTCCATTGTAGTTCCTCTTTTGGGGTTACCTTTTGGGATCCTTAAATATAATTTGTTAAACCAAAAAAAGGAACTACAATGGAGACTGTAGGTAGGGCTCAGGGTTCAAGGATTACTGTGGCTAATGCAAGTGAAGACAGTCTCGTAGCAGGGAGAAATATTAAAATCGCACTTGGAGGGGCAGGGGACTTAGTAAGTAGGGTTATAAGTAGAGATATAATTAGGGTAACTCCATTTAAGGTACTTATAACTCTACTTGTAACCTGCTTACTAAGTCCCCTGCCCCTCCAAGTAGTCAGTCATAAGGAACCGCAGCAGCGTGTGGCTGCTGCAGCTTCTGCTCCTGCTAGTACAGTACTGGCTGTCTCGGTGCTTAAGGGATCACTGTCGATACTGCGTCGGGTCACCTTTCGGCTTCGTGGCTCTATAATTGTAGTGGATTTGAACTCCAGCTGCGGATTTGGCCAAATTCTGCCGAGGCACCTCAAAGAAATACCATGTCACCACAGCTTCCATGGCTAGCAGCACAACGACCTTAGCTGGCAATAATAACATCAAACCGCATGCAAGTGGTCAAAAGCAGATGGCACCCCATTTTGACAGCTCCGGATGATATACGCGCCGTAGGAATTAGAAGAGGGTTGGGACATAATTAACTACACAAATAACAAGGAGACCCGCGGAATAACAGAGGTAATTAGTCAGATTTCCATATTATGTAGCACAGCTGGTGTCTAGGGCCTCAGTTTACCTCTCGGTTCGAAGCCCCGGTGAACATGGGCCAAGGGCAATACGTGCAAAACCTCCGTCTACTTGACCTTCGGGGCCCCAGGATCATGATGTGCCAACTTTCTGGCTCTGCTGTATAGGATTCCCTAGACCATAAATATGACCCCAAATCCTGCAGCAAAGCATTGTAGCAAGCCCTACATTTTGGAGGAAGCCCCGAATGCTGAATTCCAAGCCCGCTAGTAGGCCCTATAGTATAGAGCCCTGAGCCCTCATTTTACTGCATGATTTCTAAAACCTATGGCCCTATAGTGAGCCCCCCGTCTTCAATCTGAAGGCATCGATGGTAGCCGGGTTGCCAAGGCTTTGGACCAGAACTGGCCGGAAGGAGTTAAGGCTTTCTCTAGGGCTGTACTAGGCGTCTAGGTGTCGATGTCAACAGTCCCCAAAAGTATTTACAATCAGGGTAGTGTAAAGTTGCGGAGGCTTTTGCATGGAATTATCAGATGAGTTCGACGTGTTTTTGTTGCTGCCGGGCCTTGGAGATTCTGCGAGGAATTGGAGGCTTTATTGATATAGGGGCCTTAAAAGTTGGAATGGGGTTTTGGGGGGTCCATTGTACTATATTATTAAGGAGCCCCAAACATAGTATAGGTAATCATTTAGGCCCCTATGGTATGTATGGCAGCTCGTTAGCAGGGTTTGCGCGCTGATGGCCTGTCTCTTAAGTTGCGGGCCGAGGTTTCGGGCCTTTGGGAGCTTAGAGTTTAAAGCTCTGTGGTTTTGAAGGTTCACAGGTTTGGGGTCTCACCCCAAACGCTCATGATCCAAACTTCTGCGCTTTGGGGTGGCAGCAAGATTTGGGCTCCTCTGTGGCTGGAAGACTTCTGGGCAACACAATTCCTGGCTACACTCTCTTTGGCTTAGGGTTTTTGATTTGGTTAGGGGAATTGCCGAACCCTTGCCCAGTCTTTCGAGCTGTGTGCGCTTTGGCTGATTAGGGTGGAGCCTTCCCGCGTTTGCTGTTGTTCCATCTGGGATGCACTCTATGCAAACAAACCTCTATAGGAACACAAGGGAACTTGCAAAAGGGCTTTAAAGCTAGACCTCGTCGTTCCTCTCACTACCGGAAGAACAGTCTATCAAAGGGGAAAAGGAGGGACCCTTAATGGGGACCCCTACCCTATAATGGGCTATATAATGGGTATATAATAGCTATATTGAGGGTATATACCTGGGGGTCCTTACTAAGGGTCCCTTCGTTTACCCTTGGAGTCTAGGCTCGCCTGTCACTGCAAATCATCTAAGCTCTGAGAGCCGAACATCCCTCAGCAACACTAACGTTTCATGGTTGAGGCTTAAGGGTTTAGGGTTTAGGGGTTTAGGGTTTAGGGTTTAGGGTTAAAATTAGAGTTCGGGGTTTAGCGGTTTAGGGTCGAATCATAGTGGGGCTTGGGGGCATGGGTGAAATTTTTAAGTATTCAGTGGTAGGAGTTTCCTCCGGCCACGCGAATCTTTAGGGGGCCTCAACAAATGGGATGAAGGTAGGTAGGATTCAGGATCCCTCTAAAACAATCACTCTCACTTTGGGACTGACTGACACCCAAAACCCCAAGCCCCCCTTGCCAATCAGCCCTAAACCCCTCAACCCGAAACCCTATACTCTAAACCCTAAACCCCCAATCTCACCCTAAAGGAGCCCTTCATGAGTCTCTAAACCCTATACCTCTAAACCCTGAACCCCCAAACCAGACTAAACCCACCCTCAGGGAGCCCTTAATGAGCCTTGCCAATCAGGGTGGACGTTGTGCGCCGGTTGCAGGCAGCATCCGGATCGAAGTCCAGGAATTCGGTCCTTACGTTTAGGGTTCCTTTGGGGTACCTGTAAGGGTTCTGTTAGGGGTTTGGGAAGTTTGCGTGTTTCGAGTTTGTGGGTTTAGGGGTTTAAGAGTTTTGGGTTTACAGTTTAGGGGTTTGGGATTTTAACGGTTTAAACGAGGTTACGGTTTAATAGAGTTTAGGGGTTTTAGGGACTTCCGCCCAAATTTCATTTACCGACCCAAACTCTAGGTTAAACATCGTGAGCCCTGATACCTGGTAAAGCCCAGCAGGCTGGAACCCAAAACTGCGCCAAGCTCGGCTCTTTGGTCAAACTTGCACCTTGGTTACGGCCCCCATACAGTATCAGTCTATAACCCTAGGGATCTAAGGACTCACATAGTAAGGCTTTTGGACCCAAAGACCATACTACATAAGGCTTTTGGGCTATTTGGATCCCTAGGGTCATGGGGCTACTATTACAGACCTTTATATCTATATATTTTGAATATCATCCAACTGTTACGGTTTAGGGTTTAGGGTTTAGGGTTTATAGGGTTTAGGGTTTAGGGTTTAGGGTGGGGGCAGTAAACAACTTGCACCCAGCTTGTCTGGCACTCTGGAACTCTATGCCCCTGTGGCGGATACACCCTGC